AAACCTAAACCAACAAGTACTGAGGTGGTGCTTCTACTTAGAGAGGGTTTAGGGTTTAGGGTTTATCATGGGACATACTGAATACATAGGTTAAAGTGGTACCTCCTATCAGGATTACATGTAAATAGAACATAGAACTATAGTTACCTGACTTCTGACCCGACTTACTACAAGGAGGGCAGGCCCTGATAACCCAAAGCCCTCTTGAGACTGAATCGCTCGGGTGGTTGGGACATGGACCCGAATGCCAAACTGTCAGCCCCCCGACCCCAAATTACAACCCTCAACTCTACAGCCCCAAAATCCTAAACCCTAAACCCCAAACCCAAAGCCTCAGCAGACTTCAATGCCCCAAAAACCCTAGGCCCGCCAAGCCCGAGGATGTTACACCTACTTCATTAAAGGAAACTACAGGTGGGGAGTTTAGGGTATGTAGGGCTTCTACAAGCTTCCATAAGTCTATAGACCTTCTATAACGCTCCTATAACGGTAACTGCCCACCTGAAAATGTCCTAGATCACACCTACTTCACATGCTGGCAAAGGCATAGCCGAGGGCCGCGCTCGAATGCGGAGAAAAGCAGAGATGTGCTGACCTGGCCCAGCGCAAAAACCTTAAGCCCAAGCCCAGAAACTCTAAAGCCCTAAACTCTCAAGCCGTGAACCCTACTCTAAACCCAAAGCCAAAACCCAAAACCCAAAGCCCTGAAACCTTAAAGCTCCAAACGCGTACCTGAAGCCTTTAAGCCCCAAACCCTAGTAAGCCCGGAACGTTCAAGTTCAAGGCCCGTTTGCCTGTTGAAGAGCTCTACGCGTTCCGTCTCCTAGTCTTGCAGTGGGTTTGCAAGACGGCTTAAGGATTAGGGTGTGGGACTTGCAATGTTTCGCAGAGCTGAAGATACATACACAAACAAACACATTAGACACGTGACTCATGCAGTAAATATACAAGTAAGATGTCTAACGCAGACAGTACAGTCTTAGTACCCACTGGCTATACCCAAGCATACATCGGAAGGACAGAAGGTTCGACCCACGGGATCATTCCTATCGCCGAATCACAAGACTGTTTGCAGAGTCGCGGAGTGCCCACAACGTCAAACTACGCGGTCTAGGATCCTCTACGCGGTTCTGAAGTTTTGCTACCTCGCAGTTCTGGAGGAGTAACTGAAGCGCATGTGCCGGGTTTCTAACGGGGGCAAGTGTTGGGACTCCTCTTCCACGAAGCCGCTAGAGGGTCGGTCAAACTCCGTCGTACCGCGCTATGCAAATACATACATACATACATACATACATACATACATACATACATACATACATACATACATGTATATCTATATAATTGCGGTAGAAAGTCAGATAAGCAAGCACATAAGCTGACAACTAAATATAACACCGACAAGAGACACCAGACCCTCACGGTTGAACCCTCAAGCCTGACTCGCCAGCTGCTGCTCGTAAGCAACCTTTAGGACCCTGAAGAATGTAGAGGCCTTTATAATTCTAACAGGGTCTTGGGCTCCTTTATACTATAGTTACAATAAGGAACCCTAAGGAAAATTTTGATAATGTAGGTTTTATAATTTTAACACGGTTTTGGGCTCCTTGATACAACAGTTACAAGAAGGAACCCGAAGGAAGAGCATAGGTAATTTTTCAGGCCCCCAAAGTAAGCGCGGCGGCTCCACTCCACCGAGGACGCGGCCCGCGAGGAGCAGCGGAAAGTTGTTGAAGTGCTCAAAGACATTCACAACTACCTTGCCGAAAACGCTGCAGGGCTCCTGAACCCTAAACAACTACTAAACCTTAAGCCCTTAACGAACCCTAAACCCTCCACCCCAAAATGGCTTGTGGTGTTGTCTTCTCGTGCTTTCCGTCTTTTGAGGGGCTGTCCGCTTACCTGGCTTATAACTATCTTAGGATTTCGGGTTCAGGGTTATTAAGGGCTTAGGATTTCTGGTTTAGGGTTCAGGTCTCAGGGGTCAGGGTCGCGTCTCCTTGTGCTTTCCTTTTTTTAGGGGGTTGTTAGGGCTGAAACCCTAAATCCTAAACTCTAAACCCTGAGTTCTGATAGCAAGTCTCTCTTCGTACACGATCGGGAACACCAGGCAACCCCAGGCCCCAGACCTTCCGATAGCCCTGAGTTAAGGAACGTGCTTCGACTCATATTAGGGCCTAGGGATCTTACTAAACCTTAATAAACACCTGGAGTCACCAAGGTACCGTAGAAAAGGTATGCGTGCCAATTTTTATAAGGGTCATCTCCTTTTTTCAAAGTACATTGGTCACTCTAGGTATACCCTAAGTTTTGTAGGATCCCTAATATGAGTTAGGTTGTTCCTTGGTTGGGGTTCTGGAGCGTCTTTACGTCATATACTCCTCCTCTAAGGAATATCCTTTGCGTAAACGGACTTCTTGTTCCCAGATTTTCCAGGGCTCTGAACGCTAGATCGCTTAGTTGTAACGTTTTGTCTTGGATGTAACTTTTCAGTTCTTGCATGGAAAAATCTTAGTTGCAACATTTTTCTTCAAAGGCAGTGAATCTATGCAGAGAGTGCAAAAAGGGCGTCTTAGTTGTGAGTTTTCCTGTAGTTCGCACCATGCCACAACCGTCACACAGGGTTCATGCTGGGTTCACTCCTTAGCGTTTTTCCTCTTCGGCAACAGGTTCCTGCTGCATTCACTCCTTCGATCTTCGTCTTCGGTCAAAGCTTCCTGCTGGGTTCAATTCGCGGGGTTTTCGTCTTCACTTCAAAAGGTTTATGCTGGGATTACTCCTCAGGGTGCTCGTCTTCGGTCAAGGATTCACTCCTTAGGGTATTTCCTTTCGGTCAAGGGTTCGTGCTGGGTTCACTCCTTAGAGCTTTCGTCTTCGGTCAAAGGTTCACTCAAAAAGGCTCATGCTCGGTTCCCTCCTTAGGGCTTTCGTCTTCAGTCACAGGTTCACTCCTCAGGGATTTCGTCTTCGGCAAGAGGCACTCCTGCTTTCGTTCTTCGGTAAAAGGTTCATGCTGTGTTCACTCCTGAGGTTTTTCCGTGGTCGGTAAGAGATTCATGCTGGGTTTCCTGCTGGCTTCACTCTTGTCAAAGGACAACTCGAAAATGAACAAATTGCATCTAAGACACAACAAGTTACAACTAAGCCTGCTACCCTCCACACATTAGTACACATGCTGTCTTAACTTTGTACTACAATGGTAGCAGCAGCGGGAAACACACCCTATAGGATCCAGGGATTGTAGTATTGCAGGTCTCGGGATCTGGTGGGAGGACCAGATGTGCTAGAGTTGGCTTCACTATGATCAAAGAAACCCAAAGCCCCTTTTTCATTTAGGGCTATGCTGCTAGTTATGCTTCGAGTTATAGAGGGCTTCGGTTTCTGATTCATTCAATGAATAGTCCAGTTCGAATTCGAGGGAAACTGTGCTGTCAGCTGCTCAACGGACTTCGAAGAACAGGTTACAAGTAACTTTGCTGGAGTCAGGGTTTAAGTAATTACAACTGAAATTAAATGAACGGTAAGCCTACATGCTAGGTCAATAGGTCCCGTTGTTGTTCACGCACCCGGAAGCCGACACCCAACACCACTTTACCCGAAAACCAACGCCCTCATGTGAAATTCCTATCCCCAGCAGCAGCCCCCGAATCCCAAGCCCTAAACCTCACGCCCTAAAGGCACTACACCTCGCCCCAGTGCTAAGCCCTCCCAAAAACCTACGCCCAAACCCCTCAACCGACCCCCCCCCAGATCTGCGCCTCGATCACCAAGTACACGATGCAACCGAGCTTACGGCCCCAAATATCCACATACCTCGCGGAATCCAGACCCTAAATTCTGCTTCCCAGATATCCGGGAGGATCCAAAAATGAGATCTCTTAAGGCGGGTTCCTATAAAGACCCTTTAGTAGTAGAGGGTCCCAAATTAGGGGATCTACTTTCTGGATCCTCCCGGGGGTCTGGGTTCGGGTTGTCGTGCGAAGGGCCTGAGGACTTGGGCGCCTACTTGGAGGTTCATGGGTAGTTATAAGGCTCCAAAGGATCTATCAGAGGGTTCTATAAGGGGTCCTATAAGGGGTCTATAGGGGGTCATACTTGGAGGTTCATGGGTTAAGTCCCCTAATATAACTTATAACTATAGTTACTCTACTTATAACTACCCATGAACCTCCAAGTAGGTTTAATGTGTAAGTTGAGGGATCAGAGCCGTCTACGGCGTCACCCTAAACCCTCAAACCTGAAACACCTAAACCCAAACCCGCTGGTGTTGGGATGTAAGATTTAGGGGTTCATCTTTGGAGCTCTCTCTTGTTCTGCCCCATCCGTCTCATTTTCCGATCAGCGGCATCATCTATGCTGACCTCTCCCCATCTTTACATAAAATGTTCCTGTCCTTCGTCTCGACTCTATCAGGATGCGAGTGTATCCATTTTCTGCGTTTCTCCTCTGTTGCAGGAATACACGCTATTATTTCAATTGCTGTAGGGGTCGATAAACGACATTAGCAGTGCTATTCCTTTGGCTTCCTTCTTATGATTATTCGTACTATATACTGTATATGGCCTCAACGTTAGACTCTTGCAGTGAAACCCCTTACATGGAACCTCTTTAAGCCCGTATCTTAACCGACTGTGGTACCCCTCTGAAGGAACCCGTAAACGGAACCCTCTTCCAACTGTGAAGGCTCCCATAAACAGACTTATACAGGAACCTTGGACCCTGCAAGGGTGCTTGAACTTCACAGCCATACTATAGGGGGGCATAAATCATGAGAATGGGGCTCCTTTCAGGGTTCCTTGTGCAGGATCTTTCAGGGTCATTATCAGGGCGACTGAGGGCTTGATGTAGGGGCTTTAGTTGATTAGCATTGGTTTTTGGCTATCATGTACGCGTGATATTCTTACGGAATCCAAAGGAACATTATTACCAGTTATTCAGGGTTTTGTGCCTCTTGGGTTCTAAGAAAGAGCGCCCTACACCCTAAACCCAACTGAGCTGCAGACATGCCAACGATCGTTCCAAAAATAGCAGATGAAGTGAAGCCTGATGCTTGTGGGGATCGGGGTTGAGGACTATCTGAGCACGGCTTTAGGTCTAGAGTGACAGGACCAGTGCGAGTTTTCTCAGCCGCTGATGGTCCAGACCAAAACCTATCAAAACATATTCGGGAGCACCAGGACGAGTGGCCCGAAATGCGATGACTGACTGTGCCAAGAAGGGACACGTCAAGAATCTGCTGGGTTTGGAGATGGATGTTGCCCAATACGAGGGCGTGTTCTTCACATCCCCTGCTGCTTCCAGGTGCGGCCGGAAGGCACTTCGCGAGCCTCGTTGCAGGCGCGGCGCGGGCGAGGGTGGCTGAAGCATGCCCACCAACAGAGACGGCTGTGTCATGCACGGTGAAGCCCACGTCCAGCACGCACATCCGGCACTCTCTCTGTATCTGCACTGCCAAGCAATCCAAACCGGTGCTGCGCCCACGAGAAGGGCAGAGGCACGGATTGCACAGGTCGAGGCAATCGTTGGGCGAACCCAGCCCGAAACTGGGACTATGGCTCTGCCTGTGGTCAACGGCCCAGACATGCAGCCAGCATCACGAACGGTTTTTGCAGATGTCCCTGCTGCCACAAATCTAGACCTCACAACACCAACGCGTTGGATGGCAAGGTCCAGGAACAAACGCATCTGCTTTACTGCCTGAAGAAAAAATGACACGACCGCTCGCTTCTGAAGAGTCCGTGCAACAAACCTTCTCCGTGTCTGCACCCCCACCGGTGCTGTGCTAGATCGAAGTGAGGACGGGGCAGAGGCACGGATTGCATGGGCCAAGGAGACAGGTGGGCGAATCCAGCCCGAAACTAGGACGATGGCTCTGCTTGTGGTCACCGGCGCAAACATGCAGCTCACATCACGGAGGTGCTTCGAACCGTGCCTTGCTGAGAACAAGCTAGATCTCACAGCGCAAATGCAAGGCACGCCACTTGCAATGGCAAGGTCCAATAGAGAATGAGTGCTTTCCTGCCTAGAAACAACTAGATACTGCGATCGCACACGTCTGAGGTATCCTTGCAACGAACTCTGTCCGTATCTGCTCTGCAAGGAAACGCGCGCTACGCACGCCGGTGCTGCGCCCGGTCGAAGTGAACAAACTGCAGAGGGATGCAATGCGTAGGCCGATGCGAACTGTGGGCAAATCCAGCCCGAAACTAGGACGACAGCTCTGCTTGTCGTAAGCAGACCAGCCATGAAGCCTGCATCGCGGTCGTGGTTTGCAGATGGTGCAGCAGTGACAAAGCTAGACCCCATAGCACAACCGCAACACATGGCAAGATCCAAGAAAAAATGCACCTTCTTTAAAACATGAAGAAAAGGATGGTACGACCGTTCACTGCTGACGTATGCTTGTAACAACCTCTCTCCGTATCTGCACTGCGCACGAAAGCCCATCGATGCTCTGCTAGATCGATGTGAGGACGGGGCAGAGGCACGGATTGCATGTGCCAAGGAGACAGGTGGGCGAATCCAGCCCGAAACTAGGACGATGGCTCTGCTTGTGGTCACCGGCACAAACATGCAGCTCACCTCACGGAGGTGCTTTGAACCGTGCCTTGCTGAGAACAAGCTAGATCTCACAGCGCAAATGCAAGGTACGCCACTTGCAATGGCAAGGTCCAATAGAGACTGAGTGCTTTCCTGCCTAGAAACAACTAGATACTGCGATCGCACACGTCTGAGGTATCCTTGCAACGAACTCTGTCCGTATCTGCTCTGCAAGGAAACGCGCGCTACGCACGCCGGTGCTTCGCCCGGTCGAAGTGAAGAAACTGCAGAGGGATGCAATGCGTAGGCCGATGCGAACTGTGGGCAAATCCAGCCCGAGACTAAGACGACGGCTCTGCTTCTGGTAAGCAGACCAGCCATGAAGCCTGCATCGCGCTCGTGATTTGCAGATGGTGCGGCTGCGACAAAGCTAGACCCCACAGCACAACCGCAGCACATGGCAAGATCCAAGAAAAAATGTATCTTCTCTAAAACATGAGGAAAAGGATGGTGCGACCGCTCACTGCTGACGTATCCGTTTAACAAACTCTCTCCGTGTCTGAACTGAAAGGAACAGCGCACCGATGCCATGCACAGTCGAAGCGAAGCACGTGCAGATGGACACATTGCATGGGCAGAAGTGAAAGGTGGAAGAATGCGGTCCGAAACTTGGACGATGGCTCTGCTCGCGCTGTACATTTCACCGCGGTTCAAAAGACACACCTGCTTCGCGGCCGTCCCGGCTGCACCTGTGGTAACCCTCACTTGCTCTGATAGGACTGCTGACGGTGCAATCTGCATCGGTATCAGAAGCCCTGCATGTACACTGGCAATGCCACTGCCAAATCCTTCCTGCGTGCGTCTCTGGGGCACTCTTGTCTTCGTCTGTGTGATCTGAGCGATGCCCCCGGGACAGAGGTTCAGCTTCCTGACCACCAGCTCTGCAAGGATGGGCAAGGTCATCGCGGAAAGCGAGGGGTCTGCATGCACTTCCACCATGGCACATTGTGTAGCCCAGCTTAAATTAAACCGACTTAACACTTGAGTCCACGGGGACCTGAAGAGGCCTTTGTGCGACTGATAGGTCTGCACTCACGTTCTACGCTCCCTTCCCTACTGCGACCCTNNTTTTTGACAGACAAACAGCTGGATGCAGAACCAGTGCCATGCCGCGAGGCTTTGGAGCTTGAATCTTCGTAGGTGCTTCTCAGACTTAGCTAGGGCTTGGGGTTTAGGGGGGCGGTTGTGGGTACGTTGGCCGGTCGAAGTTGGCTCCTAACACCAATTTAGGAGTTTCTCTGTGCTTGCTACGTGCCGGCTTCCGCTTCCGGCCCGATCAGCCGCTGTGCGTAGGTATAGGTTTAAAACCGAGGGTCCCAGTACCTAAACATGACAACAGCGATGATATGCAATGATAGTGAAAGTCCCCGGACTTGCCTATCTTCAGTTTCGACTATGCTAGACCCATGTGGCTATTGATATGTTGAACCCTGATAGAAGCAGTGGTACTATTATTTGTTTCGTCCTCTTGCCGTGAGTTTTATGGCCAACTTTGCACCCAGTAATTCTGTCGTTTTCAGACTTGAAAACCGAAACCTGGGCCACAAAACCCTAAGCCCTAAGCTGTCGGGAGAACCTTCGTCCCCCCCCCCCCCCCCCCC